GGTGAGTAAATGGAGTGATTCGACTGGTGCGGTCCTAGTCCCCTAGCTGGACAAGAGGTCGCGTGCCAGTGTCGCGATGTGGAGCTTTCTGTCTGCTGAATGGTGGCGGTCTCCACCAGCGACCAGAGGTTCCGGTGGATCGCCTGCTCCTAGGGGTCGGTAGGCTTGGGGAGGCCGTGCAGAAGCATCACCACAGCAGCGATGTTCTGGCTAGCCTGAGCAAACTAAGGGGGCCATCCCCTCCGTCCAGGATGTTATGCTGGACCTGACGGGCACGACCCCGAGCACCGCTCGTTGGGTTACATGCATGTGGTGCAGCATAATGCGCCAGGCGTGCTAGCGCAGGCGGCGGCTAGCTCTGCTGCCTTTGTCATAACTCCTCGCCATGCTCCTGCGCACGCGCCAGGGCCTGCACATGGGGGTCCGGAGGGGTGTGAGTCTGCAGAGACTCCACTACCTCCGGTGGCTATCCCGGGGCGTCTGCCATAGCACACTCCCGAGACAGAGGGTGGTCAGGTGCCACGACGTCACCGATACTGGAGCCGTCGCTTTTCACCTCGTCATCGATGAGGTCGTGGAAGGAGGCAGGAGCATAGCCCGCCATCCCCACTAACTCAAATGTGAGAGGGGCAGCGTCAGCGTCCTTTGGAGCCCCCATGCGCATGTGTCCACGGGGGACGTGAAGCCGTAGGGGGACCGGTTGCACGACTGTCAAGGTGGGGACAACGGGGTCCCTCCAAAGAGTTGTCGAAAGGTGTTAAACAGTGAGTAAAGAACAATATGTACATCACTCACCGTGGGGTTTTAGCCCAACATGGGCTCGAAGCGAAGCGTGGGTGTCTCAACGTTGAGGTCGTCGAGTGGCCTAGGGCCGGTGGAGGGCGCTCCTCCTCTAGTGGACACCAGGACGAGCACCTCCTCATGGAGGCGAAGTACGCCAAGCTAATTGGCGACAAAGTCTAGACTGGAGTGGCATGAAGACAGGAGGAGCCCACATCCCAGCAAGTGGGAGCATGGGGAACTCCAGCGAGCCAAAGTGAATCGTATCGCTCGAGCCCGCCATGCCAAAGATGGTGGAAAGGTGGGCCATCCGATGACCAAAAGCGTGAACGCACGGCGTCTCTCCCCACGTACGGCGCCAACTGTCGGTGTAAAATGTGGCCAACAAGTAAATATACTGGTTCAGGCAACGGGCCCTACGTCCAGTTGAGGTCGGTTGGTGACTTTATTCCTGAGCCCATATGCTCAAAGTTTGTTGTTGGGTTATAAACGAGTAAGGAATGAGAAGGGGGTGTTAGAGGCTCGGTTGGACTCTAAACCAAGTGGCCGAGAGTGATGGATGCTCAGACGTACGCTAAGTATTGGAGCGTATGCTCTATGTGTCCGAGCTTATCAGCTGTTGAGAGCGTGTAGACTGTGTAGCTATCGAGCTCTAGAGCTATTTTGTTGTCGTCTCCTCTAGTCATCTTGTCATCGAGAGAGAGCACATCCCCTTTTATAGTTGAAGAGGATGGCCTTACAAGTTAGAGAGAGAGTGTATACGGGCGCTACCTAGTCTTGTTGCCCACGCCATTGAGTACGGGATGGCCGCCGTCGCGCGCTATACTGTTTACGCCGCCATCGCACCCTACTGTTCATGCTCTGTTGTATCTGGTAGGCTGCACAGTGTTCGCCTGGTACAGCAAACGTCAGCACCCACAACACTGTTCATGCTCTGACACATCTGGCAGGTTGTATAGTGTTTGCCTAGTATGACAAACGTCGGCGCCCACAATACTGTTCATGCTCTGACGCGTCTAGTAGGTTGTACATTGTTCGTCTGACATGGCCCGATGGCACCGTCCTGCAGGTGCACAGGGCATGGCAGGGTACGGTCCTCTGTATTACGGTTGACTTGAGCGTCTTACCTTATCTGTTCCACCTGCTCCTTGGGCCCACACTAAGCAGGCGTCCTCGGTCGGTCGTTTCCAGCCGGCCCCGACCATGTCGGTCGGGAAAGAGCAGCTAGCAGAGGCCCAGTGTGTCCTCGGTCGAAGAATGGGGGTTGAAGTCGAACTGCGGTCCCACCACGGCCAGGCCTTTCGGTCGGGGCTCCGACCATATCTCCTGGCCGAAGGTGGCGGTCAGGGACCGGATCATGGTCTTGGCATGTCACTGTGTATCTAGGCCAGCCCAGTCGCGTGCTGTCGCTGCGCCGCCTGCTGGGCCGAGTTTTGTAGGGAAGCGGGTCCATTGGGAACCCCGTATTTATGAACCCGATAGATATCAAGCATTGTGTTAGTAATTGCACATGAGTTGACTGAGTAAGTTTGCTTTAGGACATCATTCAATATTTGTATTTGCTATCTTCTCTCTCTCTCTCTAACCTTGGAAACTATTATTTTAAGACAATAGCTAAAGTGTCTAAGGGATGCTCCAACCATTGGCTTTTAAGTTAGCTCTAAGTATTTTTCTCATATTTTAATAGAAGAGAGAGAGAAGCTAGCTCTTAGTCAATTGCTAAGCTATTGCACATATTTCAAGGTGATGTGAGAATGTCATGTGGGCTATTCATATTAAAAGCTATGTGCTAAAAGTTAGCATTATTGGATAAGTTGGCTTAGAGTCAATAACTAGCTCTGACCATTGCGGGTGCCCTAAGGGCACCCCTAACAATTGAGTTAGCTAACTAGCTCATAAGTTGCCATGTCATTTTAGAGCCAACACATGAGACACCTTCTCCAGTAACCTATCTCATATAGCACGCAACTTGGGCCCCACAACTTTCTTCCCCTCCACTCCGTCTTCATCCTTGTGACGAGCTGCACATCGCAATCCACCAACGTTGCAGCACCTATGGCTTCCGTGACCATCCGCACCGATCTGTCTCCACGCCGATGGCCGCTGTCTTCGTACACATCGGCCTCCGCATTGGGCCGCTGTTGCCATCTATGACCCTCCGCGCCGCCGTGTGCCATGTGCGTTGGTTAGCCGCTACCATCCGTGTCCCCTCCGCTCCAGTCCACCGCTGCTGCTTGCGCCCCTCCTCCACCCTAGTCCACCGTCGACAGTCATGTCCTCTCCACCGCACCGAAAGTGTAGCGCTCATCCCGCCCTTGCCGTGAAGGTGAGGGCACCCATTTGTAGAGCTCCCAATGGATCCAGCTTTCTAACGATTCATTGTTGATGCACTATTCACAAGTGCTCTTTTTTCTTTTTTCTCTCCTCTCACAGAGCCGTGGGACACCCACTGGCCCTGTGAGAGGAGGAGAGATGAGAGAGAAAAGAGCTAATGTGAAACGGTGCATGAACAATGAATACGTCAGAGAAGCTGGAGCCGGTGAGAGCTCTACCAAACGGGGCCACATGACCAAAAGAAGCTAAGATGCAAGAAGCAATATGGAGAGGGAGAGGAATGGGCGTGGGCGTGGGCGTGGAGGGGCCCAAGATTGGCCTCGAAATTTCGTCTAAGCTAGGCGTGGGAATAAGAGACGACTCTTGGGTTTCTCTCTTTTTCTCTTTCTTCCACATAGACAAAATGTTGAGTTGGATCTCTAAGAGTCATATGAGATATCATTGTTGCGGGTGCCCTAAGAGCTAATTGCATAAATAAAAAGTGTCCTCAATATTAACTTGTGCCCATTAGCAAGTTTATCCTATTTGATAGGTAGGTCAGTCCTTTTTGTTCTAGGCCACGATAGGCATCCATAGGTGCGAGGCTCACTCATCTCAATCCCTTGTCCCCGATGAATCCTGCAGGTATGATTTGGCATCCACATATATTGCTAGCGGGCGTGATGCACACAAGCATTCACACCCACGGGTCCAACCGCCATCCCTAGCCGTCACGTGTCAATGAAATAGCGACAAAAACCTAGTCTATAACTTTTATACTTTTAAGAAAAAAATAATTCTTTTTATTCTAGCCTTTATAAGAATTTTGAACTCAAGCATCTATTATGACAAAGTTCAATCTCTAGCTGATGAAGTAAAGTTCTCAAAAAGCACAAAATGGAAGTATCGAATGAACTTTGGGAAACTAAACGCTAAACCTATTAGATCATGTGACCTTAACTTAATTTTTTCGGTTCTCTATTGATATTTGTCCGTTTCAAAATGTCCACATATCCTGGTCTAGTTTCTGATCCCTGTTTTTTCGAACCCGAAATATAGAAACAAGAATGAGAGGTTTTCACGTGCGTTTTCTCTCATTTTTATTCCTATATATCCCTTGTGTCAATATGTATCTCAGATGATTCTGGTCGTCTAGTTGGGTTCAAGAGGATGGCGCTGACACCCCTCACCATACCGGCTAGGGGCTAGGTGGGATTGTGTCAACGGGTCAACGCCTAGGCGGGATTGTGTCAACGGGTCAACGCTAGAAGGGATGCGTTGCGCACTATGTGTCGCTTGACGCTGCATGACATGTGCCATTCGAGGCCAGCTATGGGGTGCGCGGACGACCTAGGCTTCACACGGTTTGAAGAGTGGCTCCTAAATCCTCAGTTGTAGTTGGATTCTAAGAACTCCGAGTTCCGAGTGACACTTTTCAAGTGAGGGTTTCAGCCTTTAGAGACCTCTAGGTCGCCAGGGGTGTCACGATTAATTGGCTTGATAAATCTTTATTGGTTTTAGTATTTAGTGTTTTTGTGAGGATATCCAGGTACATGTTCTCGTTAAAAGTTTAGTTTTTTAAAAAAAAACAGGTTACACTGATTCTTCGCACCATTTTAGCGCCCCAATACACGATAAAACTGGTTTTCTATTTTTCAGATTTCTCCAATTTGCCGGGTGATCGGATCGTCGCGTCAAGTTGTTCCAGCCCGCGATCACGAGGCCGGAGTGGGCTTTTGGCCCGGTCGAAGTCGAACGGTCCCCCAGTCCCTACTCGGAGCTCGCGAGCAACTAGACGCCGGTTTTGCCTGCCACCCGCAACACGCCGCCGTCTTCCACCCTGTTCTAAAACGGACGAGGAAAATCTTCCGACTCGCGCGTGCGGGCGGGCGCGCGCGCTTGTTGCCATGGACGCAGCGGCTGAGGAGCTCCGCGACGCAGCTCAGCCCCAAGGGCAGGTCAGTTTTGCTAAACCCTAGCACCTCGCTTAGGGGGGCTTGCTAGTGGCATTACAACGTTGTAGGCTGCTCAAACCACAAATGCGCATGTTCATGTGAACTACAGCTTCTTCTATGATTGGTTTCATGGTGTTACGAAAAGCAGGAGGCTGTTGCCTCTCGCGCTTATTTTTTAGTACTTTAGGCTAGTCATTGCAGTTGCTTATGCTGGACCCTGCCGCTTAAGCATGCGGTACGTTCAGTTGACCATGCTCTCGTAATTACTAACATGTACTCGTATGCTTGTCAGCATCAATATTTCTCATAGAGAAATTAAAGCATTGCAGTTGCATATATGAACTAACAAGTTATCCTGTTTTGGTCATTATAACCACTTTGCTTGAGCATACATAAATAATCACAGCTTACTATTCTCTACTCACTGTATCTGGAGAATAGGAACGGAAACTAGATCCTGGTCCTGTTGATAAATCTGTCCTTGTGGAACAGGAGTTTCACAAATCAGAAGCTATATTTGTTGGGAAGGTAACATTTTAGAACTTGTCCTTAATTTTTCATTTACACGTTTATTTCCAATTAATTAATGTGTTCAGCTTATCTATTGGGCCTTTCAAAGAAAATCCAGTTATTGAGCTTCTCTTGATTGTCATCCATTTGTTATGCAGATCTACAAACCTGTTAGATTTATCGAACATAGCACCAGGCTTAATCAGTGGGAAGTGAGACATGAGGGAATGCTTGTGTTATTGAAGCGTTCTGGGTTTTACCACCTATCTTTCTTGAAGAGGGTCCAGTTAGACCACACTTTGTTAAATGCACTGGTTGAAAGGTGGCGGCGTGAAATACAGACATTTCATTTGAGGTTTGGAGAAATTACAGTGCTCTTGAAGGATGTGGCAATTCTTACTGGACTCCGTGTACATGGTGCTCCTGTCACTGGCCTGACAAACTGTAATTGGGAGCAATTGTGCAGACAGCTTCTGGGTCAAGAACCTCCACAGATCAAAGGTGGTTCTATCAACATGGCATGGCTGCATGACACTTTCAAAACATTACCAGAAAGCGCTAATCAGGCAGATGTAGAGTATGCTGCAAGAGCCTATATACTGTACCAAATCGGATGCAGTTTATTTCCTGATCCAAGTGGAACTAGAGTGCACTTACGATATTTGGCCCTACTCCGTGATTTCGATGCCTCAGGAGAGATGGCCTGGGGGGCTGCTGTTCTTGCCCACCTCTACAGAGAGCTTGGAAAAGCCAGCATGAAGGGCAAAGCAAATTGCTGTGCATTTCTCACTCTTTTTCAGGTAGTATGTCTTAGTTGTGTAGTGCAGAAATTGCTCTCTTGATTGATGCTAGAATTGATGTTCTGCAAGAAACATTGCAGATATGGGCGTGGGAGCATATCCAGATAGGCTGTCCTGAACGACTAGAGAATAAGGCTCTACCCGATGACCGACCCCTTGGATGCAGGTTTTTTTCTTGGTTCTTTTTTTCACCACAGATTGCTTTTTATTGCCACTTTCTTTCACTTCAATAGGTTTTTTCTTGGTTCTTTTTTTACCACAATATATACTCCATGATATGAAAAGCATCTGATAACTAGGTGGAATGTTGCCTTCAAGAGCCGTGAAAATGCCCAATCCATGGACCATGAGTTTTATAGGCATGGGCTAGATACTATATCAGATTGCCAGGTATGATGTGTTCCATTACTTCAGGAAGTGCGTTTGTGCTTTTAGATGCTCATTACAAGAGGAAAATGATATTACTGTAATATTTCTTATGCTTTCCAGATCACATGGGCCCATACACACCAGACCTGGTAGCTGGGCTTCCTGCAATATGCACATTTGGATCTGCAGTTTGGCTATCAAGGACTCCATTAGTATGCTTCCAGATAGTGGAAATGCATGTGCCTGATCACGTCTTGCTACAATTTGGAATGTTGCAGCACATACCAGACCCAGTTGAGGTTGTTGAACGTGTTACAATGCAGGGTAAAGCTGATCAACATTGGCCTACTTACCATGATAAGTACATTAAGGAATGGGAGAACAGGCTCATCTCTGTTGTTAAGCACCAGGAAACAGGGACTTCAGATCCTACTCATGCAAGGAATTGTTACCTAGAATGGTATTGGCGAATTACACGTCGTTGGATCTCCACTCCAGTTGAATGTCCAATCATATCCTATCAGTTATCTGGGCATACTGATAAAGTTCTGGTAATACTGTTAAAATGGTTTTTTCGATCTGTCTGTGTTGAGTCGAATGAATACATGTCATGTCTCGTTGATGAATGTTTTGGACCATAAGCAGGTTGATTTGGTAAATACAGTGCAGGGACGAATTAGAACCTTATTACAAAGTGAAATTGATGCAAAAAGGATGAAGCAATCACTTATTGACATTGATTTGTACATCACTGTTAAAATGGCGGAGGCTAAGCAGGTTGTTCTCACATCATGACCTTATAAATCTAGTTACTTAAACCGCAAGAGAGAGGACATGCTTATGTCTTGAATTGTTGTGCAGATTATGCAAAGTGGTGTTCCAACTGGAACAGGAATTGGAAGTGCTAAAACAGCCACAATCTCTCTAAATATTGTGGCTCCTACTCAAGCTACTGTTACTAAGATGGAACAGGTTGGTGATGATCACGTCGAGGGAAACACTATACTGAAGTTGGACGAAATGATGAGAATTCAACCCACGGGAGGTACTCCTGATTTAGCACTTCTCACAACAGGTGACACCACAAATAACAAAACTGAAGATTTGCATCCTCGAGAAGACCCTCTTGATTTAACCATGACAGAAGTAAATCTTCAGGACATTATTAGCACCCCTTTAGAGGATGCTATGATTGATATTATGAACACATCCTCGGAGGATGCTACACCAGAGGATATTTTAGATTCAGATGTGAAGGATGGTTATGCGTTCATAGAGGCTGTGGAAGTGCAGGAGACTGTTGTATCTATGGACAGCATTAAAATACCCAAGAAGGTTACAGCTGAATTGCAGGAGTGTGCTGGTGCACCTTTGATTAATGGTAAAGTGGATGAGGTCATTATTACTTATTAGTGTATTAGTAATGTATTAATGTACAGTTACATGGTGTAGATCACTCATATACATCTTGGTAAAATTGCAGGTCAGGGAACAGTGTGCAAAACTTCAGTGCTTCCAGAATTCTACAAGATCTCGAGTGTATCATCACACAATGAGCAATTGCAGAAAATCACTGGTGCATCTGAGAATGATGTAGACACAAGAATAGAGAATGGTACAGGTGAGGGAACGATCAGTCAACCCTTCAATGCCATCGGACCTGGAAAAACCTTGAATACGTCTATGAACAAAGAATTAAGTTCAGTGCCAGGTGATGTCGAACCTCCCTCTGGCTCTGAACAGGAAGAATCTGCTGCTGTAGTTTCAGGGCGCAATGAACTGCAAGATGCTATTCAGACAAAACCTGAGGACAGTGTCATTCAGGGTGGAGTCAATGCTGTGCAAAATCATATGTTTCAAGAGAATGGCAAGGACCCAATTGAAAATGGCCCTTCGAACCCTGCAGTTGTGCAGAAACCCATTGCTATACCTGCTGAAGATTTGCTTATCACTAGTGTTGGAGAGAGAACTCAGAGAAGTGTTAATTCATTCACTGGAGAAAAGAATGATACGATTGTGCAGAAAAGAATGATACGATTTGCTGGCGTTGAGGACCATGACAATCTAGGTCCAAATGAAATAACTAAAAAGAGAAAATTGATGGTTACTTCACATGAAAATCCTGAGATCCGTTCAACCATAGAGCCTAATAAAATGGGAACCGCAAAAACAGAGGAGAAAAGACATCAGACTGTAAGAATTGGCAGTGGCCAGTTAATAGCATTTACAAGAAGGAAAAGAAAGCACTTATGCAGTCATCGCCCTGACTCCTAATTCTGTTTTGTTATTGTATAATGTATGTGAATTCGTCGTTTTCACATTTTTTGTTGTTTTAATATATGGAGTATCCACAATTGTTTATCCTCTATCCTTATCAAGCTATGATGCCATGGTAATTTACCTTTGTAATTCATTCAATGCGTGCACACTCTTGTATGCTGTACATTCCACTGCCACATGTGTTGTTGAAACATTTTGACTGGTCTTGCGTCATGAGTTTGTCAGATTTTACAAACTCTTTGGCATTCAAACAAACATTGATGTATTTGCGGCTGAATTGGTTTACTTTGCCCTGAGAAAGATTGTTCTCATTTGATTCTCGTATTTGTTTGTCCTAGATATGCAGTTACATATCACCAAATCAGCATGTTTTGTATCTGAGCAAAAACTTGTGCTGGATTTTTTTTTTCTTTCAAGACTGCTTCAGTATATCTGGATGTTCAGCTTCATATTGAAAGGTGTTAATTCTCGTATTTGTTTGTCCTAGATATGCAGTTACATGTCACCACATCAGCATGTTTTGTATCTGAGCAAAAACTTGTGCTGGATTTTTTTTTTCTTTCCAGACTGCTTCAGTATATCTGGATGTTCAGCTTCATATTGAAAGGTGTTAAATACATTTTTGGTCTTCTGGATTGACAATGCCAGTTCAATTCATCACATCTCATGCCTGATTTCAGACTGCAGACTATGCGTCAAGGCTGTGAGCCTGTGGCACTGTTCTTTTGATTTTCAGCAGACTGGGTGGATGTTGGGTACTTGCTGAGACGCAGCTGACAGGTAATTTGATTTATCTGCAAGGGCGTCAAGCGCAGGAATATCTGAACTGAGATGTGACTAGACGTCTGGACTTACTATTCTTCCTGTAATATTCACTGACTCTCTTCACCTTGCAGGAACCAAGAATCGAATATGCAGTCTTCAATATAGAAAAACGTGGCGCTTTTCTACCGCTGCAGCCTGCTGTGCTGAGCTATCCCTACATATTATACCAGGTTTCGTCCAAAACCAAAATGCATGTATTAATAAGGAGAGTTAGAGTTACATGCACAAGAGGTGCTCACATCACCTTATAGCTGGCATGTATTAGAGCATCTCCAAGAGTTTATCAAATTTTACTTAGCAAATCTCGTGATTTGCCAACTCCCAAAATTATATGTCAAGTATAAAAACAATCTATCTCCAAAAGTTTGGTATTTTTTACTTGGTAAAATAAAAAAACCCGTTAACAAAACGAAGAGGCCCGCTAAGCGAACGAAGAGCCTCGCTAAGCGAACGAAGAGCCCCGCTAAGAAACGAAGAGCCCCGGATGCCAAGCCGTATCTGTATGTATATTCATGCCTGTGCGGAGTAAAAAATTTGCCAAGTTTGCTATTGATGCCAGAGTTGTTTTTGCTTAAATTCTTTGGATGCTATTTTTTCTTGTTTTGTCAAAATTATATGGATGCCAAGTTAAAATAGCAAACTCTTGGAAGATGCTCTTACCGTTCACTTCAATAAGTTCTTGTGCGTTCTCGGTTCTCCTCCCCTATAGGAAGCATGCACTAGATGGCCAAGGCATTTGGATTTTTGCCACTCCTGTCGTTGCTGAATGCTGCAGCCTCAGGGTCAGTAAGACAAGACCAATCCCCCCAACAGCTCCAGATTTATCACGTGGAGGAGACACGGGACAGGATCACAGAAAGGTGCTGTAGCAAGATCAAGAGGCGCCACCAGCTAATCAGCCACAATGATTCATCTTGTGTCGGCCGCGGCTTCTTCTCCTGCAATGACGCCGTTTTCGGCCGGGCACAAGGTCACAGGCGTCCGACGGTCCGAGTCGCGTCATACGGACTCGTCGTGTTCGCTGCGGGTTTAGGGTAAATCGATGTCGCCCCACGGCATGGGCATGGGATGATGGCTACCGGCACCAGGTGGCCTCTCGGCGCAGGCAGAGGCAGCTGTGCATCCGTCGCTCCCGCTCGGACGCTGCTGCAACTGCAATGATGGCTACCCCGCCTCGTGCCCGTGAGTGCAGTGAAGCGACCCGATCCATTGCCACGCCCTCGCTTTCAGCATTTTCTGCCTGCTCTGCTCCCTTCGTGTGCATCAGGTGCCAGCTTGTCGTGATCCTTTATGCTTTCACTGAAACCCAGCCTGGTGATTCCTCAGTCACCACTGACCACCGCGCCATGTGAATTTGCACAGATTGTGAAGCAAATTGAGGGCATGGTTTGTGGCCTCGCGCTATTTCTGTACCAGCTGTATTGGTTTTAGAGCCGCGTAATTCATTTTTTTGGACGCTTCGAAGCACCGACCAGACCAGGAGGGACAGATCTTGAAATCATTTGGGTGTGTAGCCATATCATATGCTACAACAATCATGGGATACCATTTGCAGTTGGAACGTTGCACGAGGGCAGCCTACATCCACGCGCAGTGAGCCTCAGTCGGGTACTTGTATCGGCAACAAGTAACCATGTTATTAAAAAAAAAACAAGCAACCATGTTACTCCAAAGATCGAAGTAGCGATGTGTTTTTTAGGCAAGCAAACTAATGTACCGCTAGAAGTTATATTGCATTTCCATGGTAGTCGCTAGTCATCTGATGATTAACAAAATTAACCCAATCTAGCTAGTTAGCATCTGACCTAATCCTCTGCTAAAACCAACAAATGAGATACATCTATACACATTGCATGACATCTGTTCTGCATTGGTTAGCATACATCAAATCAGCAATCAGAACTAGAGGGCCATATCCGCCAAGACCACTGGAACTAGTCTAGATAGCATCTTCAGATGAGTCAGATTGCTCTGTGGGCACCAACCAAGCCACCAGAATTTGCAGTTACACCTACATCCTTCGGTTAGTGGGGGATTATAGTAATAGTCTGACTAGGGATGCAGGGAGCTCCTGTGAGTTGTCTGTACTCTCTGCCCTTGTAGGCTACAGTATTTGACCTGTTTCAGCAAGATTATTGGGTTGTGCCCATTAGAAATGCTATAAATACACATAGGGCCAGAACTGGAAGCGGCTGGATTGGATCTCAGTACTTACATGCACTGTTGCAAGTGTGGACAGCAATTCTCTGGACTGCTCCATTAGAGTGCGCTCTTGGGTAGCAACTTTGGAAAGATCAGAAACCAAAATACTTGTTCCAGCCAGCTGCGGACCGACAGATGATTTCAGTCAAACAAAATAACAAATGCAGCAACTTGGAACAAATATTTCACCAAATGTAATCCTCTCAAAAATTGCTCTGTGCCATATTATTTTTGTGCAAGCCTCACAAGAGCTCATAGTTGTTTTTTTCCTTTTTGGTATGGTGATGGCAAAATTGATTACTAAGATAATTGGAGCTCTTTGAAATGCATTCAGTTGTAATATCTTTAATTTAACCCCCCCAACTAGCAAATGCATGAGGATGTTTACTCTACAGACCCTCGAGAAGAGAGAAATCTCCTATGCTTCAGAAACTGGAGAATGTTTCTAAAGCAGTCTGATCAGGAAATCGGCTGGTTGGGATCAAGTCTCAACCAATCCAACCATCCATTATTAAGCCTTATTATGCAGGTTGCTAGTTCTTTTATACGGCCCACGTCCATAAATTAAGATGTAGTGGTTGACAAGCAACTAGTGACAAAGAAAATGAAACAGGAAAGCAATTCAATGTACACAGCACCTTAGCCAATAATGAACATATTGAACTTCCTATTGTTTGCATGATGTCAACGGCAGAACCAACGGCATTTTTCACATCTTGGATATCAGCCTGCAAATACAAAGTAGCAAAGAAGAAACTGATCTTTAATACACAGAGAACAGAAGAGAAACATATATAAACAAGTCTGTACAATGGTGTGCTATTAACAACCTTTGCTCCATCAGTAACAGGAAGGCACAAAATGCTGGCAGTTAGAGCCTCCACAGTTCCAGATAGAGAATCCACATAGTCCCTCTCTAATGAAGACCATTCTTCTAGATACCCCATCTGTATCAAGCAATTTTCGTTAGATTTTTAGAAACAAGGCAAAGGTAAAAGGTGAATTACTACCAGGTTAAGATATAACTAGCTAAAGTAATTAGGTACTATAATAGCTTACAGTTATATCTAAGGCCCCACTACAGAGCCCACATGCTGGTGAGCTGGTCTTCCTTTTTAACTTTACAGTTGTTCATAGTAACTTCCTTTTTAACTTTACAGTTGTTCATAGTAAAGGACCATGTCTAATCTATTGAGCAGAGGATAAGCATCAAAACGGCCAGCCTGCAATTGTGCAGATATTTGAATATGTGTCCAGATGGGCGATGGCCCTGTGCTTATAACTAACTGGTTCTCAGCTTTTTCAGGGACTTCTTTTCCTTTGGCAAAATATTATCTTGCTAACATTGCCTGGCAGGCTAGCAATTGTCGACCAGACATGGAGGATAATTCCAGATAATCCGATGAACTATCAGAAAGCAAGGTTTCTAAAGTTTAACAGAAAATGATCTTGCAAAGATATGAAAAGGCAGCAAACTACTAGCAGTCATGCACTGAAAACTAAAATTGATTATTACCTGTCCCTTTAGAACTGTCATGAGCTTCCAATTGTTTCGGTATAACTGTAGCTGGAACCTCTTAAGAGCAACAGATTTACGCATCCCTAGGGTAGTAATCCATGCATCAGATAAGTACTTCTGGTGAAAAGGCCAAAGAAGAAGGGTTATTGAGAAGTAATGAGGTAGAAAAGGCAATCTTAGCTACACAAATAATATGGTTGAAATTAAGGCTTTTGCCTAGCATTTTTAATTGAAATAGTAGTACTTTCAGTTAACCAATAAGATAATAAAAATGAGTAGCCACAGACTTCCATTTGGCAATGAAAAGGTGCAGTATACCTACTTCCATTCTAAAAAGTAATGAACATGACATATATTTTAGCATGCCAACTGATACTTCTCGAGCAGATCCCTACTGGTATTAGTTTTGTTTACAGCTCCAACATAAAAGGCATGTCATTGTCAAATCTTTCCTGGTTCTTTTGCCTTTCCAACTGTGTCATATAGTTTTTGCGTAAAAGCGACAAAGACCAGACAAGATGCTTTCTATCTAGTATTCTGATATACATAGATTGCCCGGTTTGCCTTTATTGAAGAACCTACTCCCAAGGAACTAAAAAACTTCGATAAATATGAAGTTCAGATAACATAAACTATGGCACAAAAGACAAAGGTAGTTGCAACCTATATGATGTGTAAACTTCACAGATTTACTTTCTGAAAATAAGTGAATCGGAAGATAAGTGCGAGCACATAGCTCCTGCTTATAGGTAGCTCAGATCGCAAATGTTGGCCTTGAATTTAATCGATTACATCTTACACAAACCAATCAGAATTTGAATAAATCAAGCAAGTTATAAAATCCAAATATACAGCCATGTATACATACTACTGAATTCTGAGATGACATCAATATGTTAATTATACAGGAGGAACACATTTCACATATTAGACAGAAGTCCATAATTGTTGTCAATGAATATACTCACCTCTGCTGTCAATTTTTGTGCAGCAAGTGCAGCATCAGCCTGCGCATTCACACACCGCCACTGCAAATGTCGATTGGATAAAATTCTCAATAGATGCTCACAGTCAACCTTACTACGCCCATGCCACCTCCTCCTCGCTTCCCCATTCAAAGCATAACCAGATGAGCTTCTTCCCTGATGATCCCAAGATGAAGTGCCCGACCCCACACAGTTTCTCGCCCGTGATGGGCTTGACATCCTCCTCGATGGATTGCCTGTAAGCTTACTTGGTGAAGATTGCCTGACTGACCGATTCAGTGGAGATGAAACAAAGCCATTTTGCAGCGATTTCTTGACCGGCGCCGTCCTTGGAGATGTGGCCAACCCAGAGGTATACGGCAAGTATGGCGTGCCAGGATCTCTGCGAATCTTTGTGACCTGCTGACTGCAGCATCCTGCAAGAACCGTGCTGGCACACTCATACCCTTTGGGGATGGGCGTGCTCTGTGCGAAATGCCAATGCCCGCATCCTGAGACCCTGAATTGCTCCCAGACGACACACTCTCTGTGTCAGACGACATCAAGTAGTCCCCACTATCGAACGAGGAACGCCGCGCCCCCTCCTCAAACACCATGGACTGCCGCAGCGACCGGACAGCAGCAAGGACGGCGCGTCCCTCTTGTGCAAAGAGCAATCCAAGCTTTTGGTAAGCGGATTCCCCTCAAACCCCTGCGACAGCCTCGCCGACATTGGCCACCTGTGGTGAGCATGGCCTCCCTCAAACCCCTTCCCTCTCTCGGCACTGTCCCCATAGCTGGCCTCCTCCTCTCCGGCGTGATGGACCCCGCCGACGAAGCCACTGGTCGCCGCGACGGAGACGGGGACGTGGCAGGCTTCGCCTTGCTTGTCTCGAAGGAGAAGGACCGGCCCTGGAACGCCACGGAGAGGCTCCTCGTGGTGGTGGTGGTGCCCGCATTGGGTCCCCGGTCTCCCCTGAAGGCAGCATTGCCAGCCGGGCCTGGGCGCGGGCGGTCGACGGAGACCGAGCGCCTCGGCAGCGGCGACGCGAAGCGGCGGAGGGCGTGGACGCCGAGGTCGAGGTGGAGTTGGAGCTCGAAGTCGTGGTGGTGGAGGTCGAGGTGGATGTGGACTTGGAGGAGGGCGCGAGGTAGCGGGAGGAGACGACCTTAGCCTTGGGCTTGGGCCGCGCGTCGCCGGCGCCGGTGTTGGCGTTGGAGTTGGACTTTGCCGGGGAGAGCGCAGAGGAAGCTCGGCGGCGGTGCGGGGACGGCGACGGGTTCAGCCGGGGCGCGGCCTCTGCTGCCCCGGCGGCCACCATGGCGTTCAGATCTCGCGGAATCTCCCGGTGGTTTTGGGCCTCTGGGGTTTGGGGGTTTCGTTTCGTTTCAAGATGGGGGGAGCGGAGCCGACGCACGGCAGCGGAAGTGGAGTCTGGACTCTGGAGTGGGAGCCAAGTGAAAACATGGGCGAAGAGGGATGGGTCCATCCGTCTCCGTCGCAAGGGCAAAAGGGGAAAAAGCGGGCGGAATAAAGGGCCGGTGTCGTCTGTTGGTGGCCCTGGTGGGGCCAGCCGAACGGAGGAGGCAGCAGCCAGCAGATCAGGTTTGACGTCCGGTGACCCCGGACCCGGCGATGGCTGCCGCTGCGGGCCTGGGCGCAAGCGCAACCGGACCATGCCGCCGGCGGTCCACTCGCACCCGCCGCCGCCCCGTGCGCCGTGCCCAGCGATTTCTCGCGTTCCGCTTACGTTTCCCTCGAGCATGTGCTCGTCTCGACGAAACGCTCGCAGAACAGAAGCGCTCATGTGCCTGGCTCGAGCTGTCCCGAAGCAATTGGTTACGCGACGACGGCGTGGAGACGGCGTAGGGAGGCGGGCTGACACCATCATTTGCCCCGACGCGCCGGCGCGAGGAAAAAAGGGGACTTCGGCAGATATCCTCAAAATTCTAAGTTTTTTCACTCTCTCTCCATTACATCAATTTTTAGCTATTTGTATGGAGCATTAAATATAAGTAAAAAAATAACTAATTGCACAGTTTAGTTGGAAATTACTCCCTCCGTCCCGTTAAGATTGTCGCTCGGGAAGCGGGATTGTGAGAGGGGCACGGTTTTCCAACGACAAACTCAATGGAACGGAGGGAGTACGAGATAAATCTTTTGAGCTTAGTTGATCCACGATTAAACAATATTTACCAAATAAGACGAAAATGCTACTATTCATCGAGTTAAAAAAAATTTCAATCTAAACAAGGCCTTCGAGACCGTAAACAAGTGCAGGCAGGGGGGAATGTGCTCGCGCCATAATAGTTTATCCACTGCGTGATTGCCCGTTTGGACCTACCACGTGCGTACCTTGCCTCCACGCACTAGCCTAGAAAAACTGAGGTTTTTAAGATTTGCATAGATACTATCTTGCCTCAGTAACCTAGGAAAATTGAAGTTTTAAGATTCGGATAGATACTATCTTGCCCCCACTAAACTAGCTTTGATCTTTTTTTAGATAGTGGACTACTACAAATCTTATACTACCTCTATCATCAAAAGAATACAACTATGGTATAAGTGTCAGTTAAAGTGCTTCACATTTAACTAAATTTTTAATAGATAATATTCATATTTATGGCTTTAAATCAATTTATTATAAAAATACATTTTGTAATTAATCTAATGATGTTTATTTGATATTATAAATATTTATACTTTTTTTCTATAATTGATCAAACTTGATATACTAAAACATGGCCTTTGTTTCATAATGCGCTTGGGCAAAGCGTGGTCACCAACCAAAACACGCATGGGCAAAGTGTTACATAGTTGTCATGCCTTTCGATTTTTTTTTTAATGTGTGTGATCTCAACGAGAGGACATGCCGCAATGTCGTCATGAGGCTACTATCGCCTTAGCATTTATCTCCGGTTTTTCTATAAGAGACCAATCTTGGATCTCTAAGATTTTTGATATATGTTGGCATTGATTTTTTTTTTACCACTGCTCTGTCCCTTCAATTACTGACAACAATGGTATCCTAGTCGCTTGACAAATGTCGATTTTTGGTTGGTCACAAACTCTATCATTCAGGATACTCTTGGAGTTGGAAAGTTGCCTCAGCCACCTTCACTTATGCCCAGTGGCTGCCCAAGTGTAAGCCCCTAAGATAGCAAGGAAAAAGTGAGGTTCTTGTAGGAGCTTAGGGAGAGTTTTTTTTTACCTCAGTACTTATAAAAAGCATCATGAGGCTTTTCTACTATTGCCAATGCCTATCTAAGCAAACACCATAAGAAGTGGTGATTGGGGGACAGTTGTGTGTTGCCATACTATTTTGATGATGTGCGCTACTTGTGGTATGATTCTTCTAGTCCTTGAGAGGGTTTAGGCCTGGTCTTACGGGATTGGACACTTCTAAACTTCCTTGGTAGTGCACTAACCTATGCTGGTTAGCTTCCAGAGGGGGAGGTCTTGATCCTACGTGCAAACAATGGGTACATACAAAACTTCTATAACTGTATTTAAAGATATTATAAATAAGAGTGGTATCTCAGGAGGTGGTTTTTGGGGTCCAAATTGGTCAACAACAATATTGATTATAAAGACATTATAAATAAGAGTGGTATTCCATGAGATGGTTCTTGACGTCCAAATTGGTCAACAACTGTATTAATTAGGGTAGAATGAACCAAGGGAGGCGTTAAATGATCATGAAAATTGTCCAAACCCAAGAGCTAGGGTTGGCTCTAGATGTTAGTGTGCCCCTGGTGGATTTGATAGATATAGTTGCTGCTCAGGTGATGTTTTACTTTGAGAAAAGAGTTCTAGAAGATAGATTTAGAACCGTGGCCTGAAGCCTTCCAAAAGGATGCGTGAGGGTAGCATTTGGACTTCATGATGGCGATAAGAAGGGGTTCTTTGGTTGTGGGTTATCATCCAAGCGAAGTGAACAACTGTGCTCTATAACAATATTATTACTACTAGTAATGTGTCGATTAGGAATAAAAGCAACCTAGGATAAATGAATATATATATGTTTAGGAAGGTGCGTCTTAAGTATACCAAACCAAAAATTCAACAATAATTACATGAGATGATGTTACAAAAGAATTTTACAAGTCTAAAATCTCGGTGAATGTGAGTATTTTTAAGGAACAAGTACTACTCCATCCATCTCATAATAGTTGTTATTTTAGCCTTTTACAATTGTCCTAAAATTAGTTGTCATTTTACTTCTCAACACATATTTCTCTTTTTCTAATACATCTCTATTTCTCTCTTCCTGTTTCATGTGCATCAAACTTTTTTTATTTCTTCTCAATTTTTGTGTTTAGAGCTCGAATGATAACTGGGGGTTGCCATGGGGCTGGGGGGGCACGAGCCCCCACCGCAGCCCCCAACCTTGAGAGCCCCTAAGCCCTCCTTAAAATTTTAGTCATGGGAGAAGGTTAGGAGGAGCTTGAGGTTGAAGGCGATGGCCATGTTAGTATTCAAATTCCATGTTATTAGAAAGGCAAAACAATCCTTTGCATTTGCATACAATTCTTGTTTTGTTTTTACATACATGAAATAGTTACGAGAACCACTAGAGCTAATATAGTAGATGAGCATGCACCTCCTCGTCTATTGGTTATGGGAGAAAAGGAAAAACACATTGAAAATCAACACATGGGTATGTGTTCAGGGATGATGACTATAGGGCAGTTGCACTGAGGCAATGGCTTAATCACTATTGACAATATCTACCAGTTCTTGGATGGCAGGGCCGCAACAATAGCATGCTTCTTCTGGCGCCAACATGAAAGGTCCTTGTGTGGTTTTGGTAATTGAGTGACAACCTAGGTGGACTAATTGTATTTATGTGAGATACACAAGTGATTAGTCCACAGGTACATGTGTGTGAGCAACATATGCCATGAAGGTGAAAATAGTTTGGAGATGTTGCAAAGCTCACACATGTGTTGATGAAGGAGCTCATTGCAAATGAGACATGACATTGAGTCACGTGATCAAGGTGGAGAAGATCATGACATGACTTGGCTTGATGGACTGGTTGCAAGTGTGAAGGGCAAGTTGGAGGCTTTGGAGCAATGGACCGTGTGGCGGTGAAGCTTGAGCAAGACTTGACGCTGATGGACGAAGGCAGTGGTGACAAGCAAGTGAAGTCAAGATCGATGAACCAATATGATCACATGATGATATGAAGCGGATCATATCATTGTTGATCATATTGGTGCATGTGTTGCATCAACATTGGAGGAGATGGAATGGAATGCGCAAGGCAAAGGTATAACCTAGGGCATTTCATTTCACTTGGTCATAGGTGTGTAGAGAAGTTTATGACTAGGTTTAGGATAGATGGACGATTATCAAGAGAGGGGCAAACTTGTTTGCATATCGATCATCTAGTGCCACTCGAGGTGATCTAACTTTGCATCGTCCGCTAGGATTGAGTGGCATGGCAAGTTGAGTGGCTAATCCTTTGAAAATGATTGTGAAAATGCTAACACACATACACATAGTGGTGTACACTTGGTGGTGTTGGCACTTTTATAAAGAAATGAAGTTGGAGTTGATGTGAATCAACTCGGCCATGAAACGGAGGCGAGAAGGGTTAGAAACTCCACCGGCTGAGTGTCCACCCATAGAGTGCGGACAGTCCGACGGTGCCACCGGCGCCCTATCTGTAAAAGATAGGGTTTCATAGAGTGCACCGAACGCTAGTCATGCAAGTGACCGGACGCTGGGGTCTTGCGTCCAGTTAGTGGTGGCAGAGAGCGTCAAAGGCGTCGTCTTCTTGACCGACGACCTTTGTACCGAAAGTGACCCGATCACGGTGGAAGCGTCCGATCAGCCGACGACTGGTGATGTAGGCGACGTAGAGAAGGTGGAGAAGGACCGGACGCTGTTGCTACGTCCGATCATGACCAACCGGACACATCCGGTCACAGCTGGTACCTTACTGGAAACGACCAGACGCTGGGGTTGTGAAAGGTCCTTGTATGATTTTGGTAATTGAGTGACAACCTAGGTGGACTAATTGTGTTTATGTGAGATACGCAGGTGATTAGTCCATTGTGTATATGTGTGAGCAACATATGCCTTGAAGGTAAAAATGGCTTGGAGATGTTGCAAAGCTCACACATGTGATGATGAAGGAGCTCATTGCAAATGAGACATGACATTGAGTCATGTGATCAAGGTGGAGAAGATCATGACATGACTTGGCTTGATGGACCGGTTGCAAGCGTGAAGGGCAAGTTGGAGGCTTTGGAGCAATGGACCGTGTGGTGGTGAAGCTTAAGCAAGACTTGACGCCGATGGACGAAGGCA